CTTGGTCCCTAGCCTATGATAGTACTTAAATTCTAGAGAATCATTACTCATTGGGGCCTATGGTAAGGAATTTAAGTCATTAGGAATAGACCCCTTCTACTTTATTACTTTGCTTCGTGTCCATACTAAGGTGAACTTGTTTTTTTCCATTTCAGACCCTCAATATGATTTACTCCTTCACCATAGGCCCCAAAACATGGACAGAAACCTTTAAAACCATAGGTCAAAATAAACCTTCACTAGTATGTATTTGTAAATATTAGAAATGCTATTAATTAAATATTCATAAATAATAAACATTATTAAATATTTATCTCAAGTATTTTGTCACAATAATACAAAACTGACTTAATACACTACCTTACCATCTGTGATAGAGATCTGTGGAGCATGGGAAGTTTGTAGAACAGTGAGAAATCAATGTGTTTTATTGTTGTTGATTTGTTGTTGTGCTTTGATTTGTTTCATTTGTCCCTTGACTCCACTACCCTGGCATGATAACACACCCTAGAGTTGACTTTAGTTAAGTGGCAAAAGCAAGTATTTGTCATGTTGCTAATTTTGTCACTCTTCTCCACTGTCTAAGGGAATTCATGCACAGCTCCTGATGCCTGAATAGCATTGGAGTATGTCATGCTGCCTGTATATTCTGTATCTCCTTTGGAACAGTACCCATATAGATCACCAAACCAATGTAGAGTTGACTCTAATCAAATGTAACAATTACTCTCAAACTAGAGTACCCTCTCACTGTGATACATGCTTGCATTTTGTTATAGAGTTAGGCATCAATTTACACTGTCAATTTGAATGGCATCTATAACATGCATTATTCTTTTCTCATTATTAATAATAACATTATAGCTTGAACCTCTTCTTGAACCACTAAGAGTACTGTTCTATCCAGAATGATACATTGACTTCTGTATCTTCACTACAGCAATGTGATTAATATTTCCCAGGATCAACATTTTTGCCCTAGAGACAATATTTGGAAACTCTCATTTACTTTAGTTACAATGGATAGTATTATGGCATAAGCACCAGAACAGTGGTTCTGTGGAGCATGACCATCGGAAAATACATTAAAAGGTTAAAGCATTAGGAAAGTTGGGAACCACTGATTTAAGGTGAATGGGATGGTAGAAGATAATTATGGGAAAAGGAGACTTAAAAAGAATAATTGTGATTATCCAAGTAGCTCCAAACCTTCAGAATGACATTTACAATACCGATAGGCAAGCAAATATGGAAGGGCAACATCTTACAGGGCATCAACCCTAGACAAAGAACTATAGGCAGCTAAGGAATATTGAGAGAGGGAGAAATAGTCTTCCCTATGGTAGAATACACCAACTGGTTATTTAATACCAAATAATCAGACCTGAGAACACAAAGAAGGTTTTATTTATATATTTGATATACAAATTAAAAAGAAGGGGGACAGAGGCCCTGAATTTGAGGGATAGCAAAGTGGGATACATGGGAGGGGTTACAAAGCGGGGATATTCTGTCATTTCTGCTTTGCAAAACTTAGAAAAATTTCTGTTGTGAGCATTCCTAATGAGAACCGTCTGTCTAAAGAAATCTATCTGGGACCTGTAGTTGAGCTTAGACAAAGTGACACTTAAATTTGGAGTGTGGAGGAGGCATTACATCAAGCAAAATGCCATTGACTGGGCATTTTTAGTCAACAAAGATGTACTTCTTAGAACTCTATGGTCTGAGAAGACCAAGTTAAAGATGATAAAAGATTCACTGTCTGAGAGAAAATACTTTCCAGTTCATATATAGTGCCCTCTCCTTGTGTCCTCATGAAGTCCTTCATATGTGTCCAAAACCTCTTCTGGAATGGCACTGGTCCCCTTCATGAGGGCTATGACACCATGACCTTATACCCCTCCTAGGGATGCATCATTTACTATTGTCACCTCAAGCAATACGATTTCAAAATAAGGTTTAGGGGAACATAAACAGACCGATTAAAATGGGGTCTTTGTACCCTGTTTTGTCTTTACATTTCTAGTGGCATGTGGGAAGGTAGCATCCATTGTGAGAAGTAGGATCATTTTCCTCTGCTAGAAAATGAAATATGCATTAAAATTATGCATATGTGTGCCATGTTTACAAAGCTGTTCTGTGAGACACTGGTGCACTGTCACTTTGGCTAAGTTTAACTACAGGACCCAAGTAGCTTTCCTTAGATGTTTCTCATTAGGATTGCTCACAACAGAAATTTTTCTAAATTTTGGAGAGCAGAAGTGACAGGATAGCTCTGCTTTGTTTGAAGGATGATTCAAGTCCAGAGTCCTCTTTTCTCTCTGCTGGTCTACCTTGGTGCCAGTGGTAGTAGTTACCTTTGTGGCTACAGCTATCAGGATCCTCTGGTCCTAGATTCCCTTAACTTCTTTGCCAGGTTCAGGGTCAGAGGCTTTGGGGGGCATACAAACATGTCTCCTGTGTGTTTCACTTGGCAGTTATCCTGTTAGTCTAGAGATGAACAAACTCTTCTCAAGTGAGACAATCTCTATCCTTGCATGTCCTGTTTTCTTTATATTCCTCCATTTTGTATTCAGTCTTCCTTTCTGATTGTCTGTCCTGTGAGTAAAAGCCCACACTGGTTTTTAAATAACCAGCTATACCAATATTATTTCTCCTAGTTCCCACTGAAGTATGGAGTCAAATATCCACAGTGATTTTCTTCTTGAAGAAAGAAAGTATATTAGCCCATTTGTGCTGCTATAACAGGATGCCACAGTCTAGGTAATTAACAAATAATTATATTTTATTTCTTATTTCTTAGTATTCTGGTGGCTGGGAATCCAAGACTAAGTTATAATGGTTATGTCATATAAAGGTATATCTGCTGCATCTTTCAGAGGGAATCAATATTTTGTCTTCATTTTATACAGCCCTAAACTTTCACTACAGGGGAGCCTTTATGATCTCATAACCCACTAATGTGACAATCAATATTTTTATGTTGAAAATTAAGCTTAAATATGAACTTTGGTGGAGGAAGAAACATGCAGGCCACAGCAGTGAATCAAGTAATTTCCCATGCAACAAGCACATTTTGAAGAAGCCAGAATGTGCCTTGTGTTTAGCTTGTTCTGAAGTCTAACTTTAGTGTTAGTTTCTATATCCCACTCACTGTTACTCTGTCCTGATTTTTTTTCAAATAGTTGTTTATTACTTAAAATGAAAACATAATCACATCATTTCCCCCATTTCTAGTTTGTCCCATGTATCTCTCATATTCAGGGTCTCTTTTTCAGCTGTTGATTGGATCCTAAGTATATGAATCTAACCTGCTCAGTCCATGTAATATTATTTGTATCTAACACTAGACAAATAACTACAGGCAACTTAAGATGGTCAAGAACTGGGATAAACAGTGTTCCCCAGAGAAGAGACACAATGCATGCCGATCACTGTGTCTCAGCAACTGAGCTTACAGCTCTGGTTCTGTGTGAAGGGAGATCATTGAGATATTGTACAGGCAATATAGAACATGTAACAACCCTCCCACCATAAGCTAGTTCAAGCTCCACCTTGGCTCCCACTGTCATTTTGAAAAGCTTACTCCACGGCATCCTTTTTAACATCTAACACTCTCTCATTGGAGGTGGAGAAAGTTTGCTTGAGCCCCCTGAAGGACATGAAATGTTTTTTATACTTGGCTAATTAAACTTTCTACATTCTCTTGATATTTGTGTGTTTTATGACAACGTCACGTTCGCTTTTTGAACTGGGAGAGTATGCCAAATTGTTACTAACCCCTAAAATTTGTGGAAGTGATTAAAGAGAATGGTGGGTGTCACTTTCCTGAAATGTGATATTTTTATGTTTAAAGATATCAACTATAAGTATAAAAAGGCATTTGATTTCTCCAAAGAACAAAATTTATGTTTTATACTTTGGAATTCTTTATTCTTGTCTAACTGGAAAAGAATGAACCAGGAGGTCTTACTTTGGTTAGTGCATCCTTCTAATTTCTGACATGGCTTTCCTCTTTTCTGTGTGTGCATTTGGTAGTGTGAATTAAATGCTTTCCAGATTCTGTTTTAACTTTTTCTCACTGTCAACTGTTTGTTCTGATTGTAACCATTACAGCATTTCAACTTTTCTGTCTCCTGCCTTTTTTTGGGGGGAGGGGGTGTCTTCCACTGCTGAAATCTGAGCTACACATGATTGGGTTTTAAATTTTTGTTTATATTTATCTTATATGTGTATATGTGCTTTCCTTACATGAATGTGTATGTATCACGTGCGTAGAGTGTCCAAAGAGAACAGGAGCACCAGATAGATTGGAACTAGAGTTATATAAATGGTTGTTAACTGGGTGCTGGGACTCGAACCTGGGTCCTCTGGAAGAGTAATCAGTGTTCTTCTGAGCCATCTCTCCAGCACCTTCTACAATTGTTTTATAACTCTGGCATAACTCATGTAAGACAAAAATCAGTTCAGATACGCTCACCTATATTGACAAACTATCATTTTCTGACAATATTAAATTTAAAAGACATGTTTTCTATCACTTTAAAAGGTATCCCATGATAGTAATGCCACAGTGGAAAAAAAATACGATTCTGAGCAGTCCTTAGGACCTTTATAGCTCATTGGACACAATGCATGTCAATCACTTTGTCTCAGCAAATGAGCTTACAGCTCTAGTGACGTATTAAAAGAAGCATTATTACTCCTCAAGGCTCCGCCCACTTGTGCTGGTCTACAGCCATCTTGTGGCCGGCATCGGTAGGCTGCTCCTCCTGGTGTTGTCTCATCCTCCCTTTTTAGGTACTCCACAGGTACCAACTCCTCATCTCATCAGTGGGAAATCTTCTCTGTTGCTCTCACTGCTTTCTAAGAGGTATTTGTGACCGACAACCTCCCTCTTCTTGGCGGTAGTCGTCCTAACAACGCCCCATCCCAACCAACACCAACACCTTCAAAGCTCGCGGCTACTTTAAGATCTTTCCTGGCAGGTCTTTTGTGAAATGTCTGCTGTTGTAGAGCAGGAACCTGGACTACCTGACCAAGAGCGAGAAGGTGATGGGATGGGGCACGACGCCAGGCAAATTGTCCTGCATGTGCTGCCAATTGAAGAAGCTGCTGATGACATCGATGGAACCGCAGCATTTCTGGTTTCACAGGCAGTGGTAAGAGCCATTACAGAGGAAGAGTGTGGACAAGAGGAGATATGGCCTGATGTTGAGGAGATCTGGCCACAGGTGGAAGAGGTCTGGCCTAGTTTTGGAGACATCTGGCCTGAAATTGAAGAGGTCTGGCCTGATGTCGAGGAAGACTGGTATGTCTGGAATAGTGACCAGGAGATTGATGAAGATCAGAGGAAAGATCAAGATCAACAGGGCCACCCTAGCGAAGTAAAAGAGGAAGACGATGACGATGAAGACGACGACGACGACGATGAGGATGATGATTATGTATACAAAGAGGATAAGGAGGAGAACGAAGGGGAAGATAACAATGAAAATCATGGGGATGAGATTATCCTTCGTGCCTGTGAGTTTTCCTATGTGGGTGTAGGTCTACTAGAGAAATCGTTTCTCTTAAATACCCCATGGTAGTACCAAAGTCTGTATATATGCTAATAATGACCACTTCCTGCTTCACCCCAGGCAAGAGGAGTAGTAAAGTTCAGTCTCTGGGAGCACACAGATTCAGAATGAAGGACTCTCTGAGAAGTCCATAACCTAGCAAAGGAAGCATAGAATTGGGAGGGTGAATACCTAATAGAAGGGGCTATCTCGACTATGGCTGCCCTGTATAACACCCCAAAATCCAGACTGCTGGATTTTCTTTGCCTATGTCTTTAAATGGAAGAGCATGAGAATTTTTTTAAAAAAGAATATGATTTATTAGTGGACAGAATCTTTTATCATAGAATAACTTATTTGTATCTTTACAAGGTTATAGGAGCACCAGAAAACTAGGCCTTTATGGTATTAGAGAACCTTTCATGGTCAGCTGACTGAAGACATTAGGTGATATGAGAGTTTCCTGGTACACAGTATTTAAGTTACAAAAGGGAACTATGTTCAATACTATGTTAAGAAAACATAGGATAGACTAATTTTCCTAAGAATTAAAAAAGTGGTCATGTTATATGTTTTACAATTCTTAATTATCTCTTATTCTTCCTACAGATTGAGGACAAAGGAAGCTATGGATGAAGATAGAATCAATGAATTGGTTCCTCGTGGATTGGAAATCATCTAACATTCATTAACACACAAATTAGTGATCATCATATTCTAAAATTCTTCACCCACTTATATACACTGAAAACTTCCCCCTCTGTTTAATCATTAAAGCAAAAATAAAATCATTTCAAATAAATGAATGGATGAGTGTTCTTGTTTTGTTTCATACTAACTCAAGTTGATTGATGTATATTCATTTTGTTTTAGCCTGCCAGTCACTGAAGCAAGTCCCTTTTAACTTTTTTGAGTCCTCTTAGTACACTTTCAATAAATTGCATTGGTAAGCTTTAAGCATTTATTAAAGCAGGTATTGGAGGCCTAGCATAGTCTGAATTTTATGCACAGAAACTGTCAAGTGATCCAGTTTGTGTTGAAGCAAAATGAGACCATTGGACACATGGAGCAGCAGCCCCAGCAGCAAACAGCAGCAGCAGCAGAATCTGGGAATTTGTTAGCAATGGGAACTCTAGCACCACTCAAGATTTACTAAATAATAAATTCTCATATTGATCTGGCAGCTTCTGAACACCTTTAGATTTAATATCAATATAGATTGAGAACTGCTGATTTAGAGTAACGCTTCACTACAGTTGGATCACCATTAGATTACTGAATTGAGACCTTTTAAAATAAATTGAATAAAACAATGAATACTGGATGCTGGATGAGGGGTGGTTGATGCAGGAAGATACGACAGTTCTGAGAGGTCTAAGACACAGAGAGAGGCCTAAAAACACAAATATTGGATGGTATAGTGGGGGAAAACTAGATAATGGAAAAAGCTAATTTTTGGATACTTTATAACATACATGTAAAGTTTAAAAACATGTAAAACAAGAACAATAACTACAAGTATATTATATATATATATATATGTGTGTGTGTGTGTGTGTGTGTGTGTGTGTGTGTATGTACATATATATGCATGCATATATGTGTAGATATATAAACTTGTATATATACATATATATGTAAACAAAGTGAATATGATGCATGCTTATGTAGCATACAGAGAATCTGCTATGAGAATGAAAATACCTATTATTACTAGGTACATTTTTGAGAAAATGGGATAAAAGTTAGGTAGTGGTACATGGTAGACTTCAACTGTATCAGAGTGTATCCATTAGGTTAACTCATGGGTGTATAGATGTAAGTATTCACTATACCTTTGTGTAGATTAGCAGTGTTTCTTGAAGAAAAATAAAATACAATAAATTTTAAAAGGCTTAACAACTGAAATCAGCTTAAGGAATAAACTGTAGTTGGATATGACTAGTGTAGATGCTCTGAGGAGAAATGGCAGGATTTTGAGTGTGGAAAGCCTTGTTCTGATATTTAAAGTTTCTCAGGTGTTCATTTGCTGTAGTTCCTTCTGGTATATTTTATGGAAGCATATCTAATCTCACAATATTAATTAGCATTATCTGTGTGTATACCTAAGTCTTTCTGTAGGGGTCAAGTTTCTAAATTATTAGGACCTTTCCAAAGTTTTACTTATCATGTATCTTTTTTTAAAGCACCTACCATTGTGTTTTCCACTTGGTAGATATGTGATAAACATTTCTTACAAAAACAAAGTTTACTAAAAAATTTACTTAATGCACACAGAATTGCATTTTTGATCACCAACGTTGACATTTAAAAACATGATAGGATAATAATCACTAAAACATAAATAGGAAGAATTCATTATAGTGTTATATAACACAAAGGGTAAGTATAGTCTAAAAAAATTGCTAACGTATTTTTTAAAACTAAAGAAGAAAAAGGTTTTAAGGTTTCCAATCCATACAAATTCAAATGTTTAATTTAATTGAATTTAGTGTGAATTACTTTGAATTCATCATGAAACACTACATATAAATATATGTGCCAAACTATGACATTATACTCCATAAATAAATGCAACTATACACTCATCAAAACTAAAGATAATATAATCTACATAGGACATATTATCAGGAACTTGACATATTCATAGCAGGCAGATGGCATAGAGGCACACTGCTAAGTTCTTTGTCACTATTCACACTGAGTAGCAAGCCCAAACATGCACATTGAGGCTAATACGTTCTTTAATAGCCCCTGATATTTGTTTTATGAAGTTGGGTGCACAGAAGTTTTGTGCCTATGAGGTAATAATTGGAATATCCTCTTGATTGACTGTTTTTTAATCAGAATTAACTGAGCATCTTTGATTAGTTTTGGACTGAAATCTAGCTACTATAGAAATCAGTAGGGTAATTCCTCCTGAACCTGGCAATAAATCTACCTCTAGATCCAGTTACACCACTTTTAGACATATACATAAAGGATTCTATGTCCTGTTACAGAGACATTTGCTCATCTGTGATCATTGCTACTCTATTCATAATAGCTAGAAATTAGAAACAACCTAGGTATACATCAATGGATGAATGGATGCATAAAAATGTGATACGTATATAAAATGAAACACTACTTGGCTTGTTTTCTTTTTTAAAAAAAATGAAATCATGAAAATTGCAGGTAAATGTGTAGAGATAGAAAAAAATTACCTTAAGTGAGGTAACCCAGACCCAACAAAACAAACATAGCATGTATTAGTTTATATGTGGATGTTGATAAGTCTTCAATAAGCAGGCTACTACTATCCATGTAACCACAGAGATTTGTCATAGAGTAAGGGAGTAGGAGCAAAGAAAGGATCTCCCTGGGAAGGAGAAATAGAATAGTTATGTATGGCAGGGGTGGGGAGAATCAAGTCAGGGAAACAGAGGAGTAAGGGAGGGAATATGTAGAAAAACAGCCAAAGCTAACTGGCATTTCATGCATCATAGGAAAACCTAATACAGGAGAAGCTTTTTAAAAACATATGCACACATAAAATAAATCTAAATTGAGTCGGTCACCAAATAATGAGAGAGACAAAGCAACAACTAGATATCTCTCACCACCCAATGAAAGCACCAGTGGGTTACATCTAATTGAGTTGTTAGCCAACAGAGAACCACAGACACTCCCAAACCACCTAGGCTATTTCTAAAGATATTGGTTGTTCTCCACAAACTGATGGTAAAGCTCTATTCCTAAGAACACTACCTACAAATTCATTGAACCCAGAGAAGTTTAGACTACCTAGGGTCTAGTACCTACCTAGAGCCTTCAGCCCTACTGATTGATGTTCATAGTGCTGGAAGGTACTCTAATTGATGCTAAAAGAGGATGGTGAACACCAACCCAGCTACAAACTCTGTGATCTGTGGGGGTGACCAGCCTGCAAGATATGCAGGTATAACAGTGACACAAAAGTAACCAATCACTATCTGCTTAGATTTAAGGCCCAAGAGCACTAACTGCTCTTCCAGAGGTCCTGAGTTCAATCCCCAGCAACCACATGGTGGCTCACAGCCATCTGTAATGGGATCTGACGCCCTCTTCTGGTGTGTCTGAAGAGAGCATTTTTACCTGAGATGAAATCCATGCCTAACGCTGCTTAGGTGGCCAAGAACATGAAACTAGATAGGCCATGGGCCTGGGGAAAACCAAATACTACTGTTCTGCTAAAGGAACATAGTCATAAAATGACTCCTAACAACATTCTGCTATATGCATAGATTGATGTCTTATTCACACAACATCAGGGAAGCTCCCTCCTGGAGTAGATAGGAACAAATACAGAAACCCAAAACTGGAAAATACTCAGAGATTGAGACACCTTAGAATACTCATTCTTGAATAGAATATCTCCATCAAATCCCTCTCCTCATGAATTAGGGAACCCTGAGAAAGAAGATGTGGAAAGATTATAAAATCTAGTAGAGATGTGACCATGGTAGGGTCACAGCACTGAGAGAGAAGTGAACACAAGCCACTATCCCTAGCCTAGAAACTATCTCCAATTGATAAGCACTCACAAATGAAAAAAATAGTTTTATCCAACAGAGTCTCACTAGATATACAAATCACACATAAGGGCAAGACCCATGCCCAGAAGTAGATAGCTAACACAAAACAAACCCAATGGTATTTGGGGTGTATGTGTCTCAAATGCTTGGGTTTTTTTATCTCACAAGTTTTTGCTTATATGTTATGGTTTCTGATTTTGTGTTTTCAAGGAATTTCTATGTGTGCAAATATGTGTTTCTCTGTGTCTGTATGTGATTCTTGTGCTTTTTATTTGCCTCTTTTTCCTGTTTGTTTTGTTCTATCCTCGTTAGTTTGTCTCTGTTTTACCTTATTTGTAGATGCCTGTTTGTTTTCTAATAAGGGAAGAATGAGCATGGTTTGAGTGTGCTCTGGGTTGGGGAGAATCTAGGAGGAATTGGAAGAGAAGAAACATACTCAGAGTATAGTGTATGGAAAAAATATTTTCAGAAAAAGGAAACAAATATTAAATCTATTTTGGCAGAACAGTGACTCCTGCCTGCTACCTGGTTTCATTTGTGTGGAGTATATTTTTCAATCCCTCCACTATAAGACAATGTCGATCCTTGAATTTGATGTGCAAATAGCAAAATATGTCGATAGCAAAATGATTCCTGTTTTCTGATCCACTTAGCCAAAGTCCATCTTTTCATTGGAAAATTGGGCCATTGATATTCTGAATTATTATGGAAATGTATATGTTACTTTATGTCATTTTGTTGACCTTTATGGTATTTTTTTCTTATTCCTAATTTGAAAAACTATTGTCCTGGCACCATCTGTCTGTCATCCACAACCTCTTTTATGTGTTCATCTTTCTCTTCAGTCCACAATATTCTTTCTGGTAGTCTTTGTAGTAATGACTTAATGGTCATAAATTCCTTTAGTATGTTTCTATTATAGAAAGTTTTTCTTAATCTTTCTATTCTGATGGATAATTTTGTCAATTAACATAGCTTAGGTTGGCATCTATGTTCTTTGGAATTGTTTTAAATTCTTCTGGCTTTTAGAGTTTCAGTTGAGAAACCAGCTGTTATGATTGACCGCCATTATATGTTGCT